TTTTTTTTCACCCGAGATAGTCAAAGTTGGGGAAGAAAATATCAAAAAGTTAAAAATCCAGAAATAGTCCTAATTTTATGATGGTTCCTTAATATATTTTAACTACATTGCATTTGAGTATGGAGAGGTAACTATCTGGAAGTATTTTACATAAAAAAAAATTACTAAGTATTGCCCGGTTTGTAGTTGTAGTTAAAGAAAACACATGAAAAGGCACGATTTTTTTTAAATTCGAAAAAATGTAAATATTTCAAAAACGGTGACACTTTTACCTGAAAATTTTTTGTTTATCAGGGAGCGGACTCGATCCTCATTTGTAACGCAGGATACCCGTAAGAGTACTTCAAAGGCCCCAGAAGGCACGCCATTTTGGGTAGAATTAAGGGTAGCATAATATACACAACTAAGTCAGTGATTTTTTATAGATACGCAGGGATTAGTCCAAGACAACAGCAGTGCCCAAGGCAGCCACAGTCCGGACTGTTCTTCACCGAAAGGCAGGCATGAAAGTATTCGGGCGCGTTATGCCTGCTTCGACATTTACGGGTCACTTCTGCCGCGAAGGGCGTTCGCGGTAGGATCTGGAAAATTTAACCGTTACCCTATAAACTGAACAGCTACAGTTGAAGTTGTTCAGTTTTCTTAAAGTCCAACTAGTAATACTACTTAGGTATAAGTTATTTATTCAAGGCAGTTAGCAACCAAGAAATTTAACATAGCTATTCCAATTCAACAGTAAATTTTTGTTTATACATTTTTCGGTAACTTTTTAAATTACTTTGAAAAATGGAATTCGAAAAAAATCAATTACATTTTCAATTGCTTTCAAAGGAATTGGAAAAAAAATACATTTTCAATTCCTTTCAAAGGAATTGAAAAAAAAAAAAACAATTAAGAAAGTCTAAGTTCGGGCGGAGCCGAACATTAAATACCCGGCGCAAGTATTAAATACATGTTTTCACCTTTCCGAAAGTTACCGCTACATGATACGGGTGTATAAATTTTAAGTAAACTAGCATCCTTAAATTTCGAAATTTTGAAATTTCAAGCATTTCTGAAATTTACCGTTATATGAAAAGCGGCCATAACTTTAGTCCGATTTCAACAATTTTCAACGGTTTACTTTCATGTGGCAAGCACAATAACCATACCGAGTTTGGTACAAATTGCTAGAATGGTTAACGAGATACATATATGTGATAATAAGTGGGCGGTGCCCATTTTCCAAAATTTTATCATAAACGTATGTTCTGGTAAAGAATCGTTGCAACCATCAATTTTGAATAAATTAGCTTTAATATTTACTGATTTATCGAGGATTTCGTATTTCTCGAAATTACCGTTATATTTGATGTGGGCGTGGTCATTGTTCGATTTTAAAAATTTTCGGCCATTTGGTATGCTGTGCCAGGGTCAACAACTGTGCCAAGCTTGGAAGAAATTGATGCAGCGGTTACCAAGATATACACATGTAACCATAAGTGGGCGTGGCTACNGCAGTTTTCGTATTTTTGAAAATTACCGTTATATAGGAGGTAGGCGTGGTTATTATCCGATTTCGCCCATTTTCAATACCATCCGTCCTACGCCGAAGAGAAGTGCATGTAACAAGTTTCGTTAAGATATCTAAATTTTTACTCGAGCTATCGTGTGCACAGACGGACGGACGGACACACATTCTCATTCTGATCATTTATGTATACATTAGCACGTAATTTATTCCAATTACAATATGAAATTCCTTGTAATGGAATTAAAGAAAAAACAATTCCATTTGAAATTACTTCAAGGAATTGAAAAGGTAATCGATTCCTTTCCTGTGTGTACAATTACTGAGGAATGTAATTGTAATTGTAATGTAATTGCATTAACGCAGCTCTGACATATAGCTCCCATACAACTGATTGTTCAGATATGAGATTTTTCGTTATAACTTCTCCATTTATGCAGATAAGAACATGAAATTTTGCAATGCTTCCACCCATTATCAACAGAGAACTTAGAGTGAAAATTACAATAATCGGGTCACTATAACCTATAGCTCCCGTACTACTGATTGTTCAGATATGAGATTTTTCGTTATATCTCCTCCATTTAAGTAGCTAGTTACATGAAATTTTGAACTGTTGTCACTCATTATCAAAAGAATACTTTCAGAGAAAATGGCGAAGATCGGTTCGCTATAACCTATAGCCTCCATACTACTGATTGTTCAGATATGAGATTTGTTGCCATAACTTCTCCATTTATGCAGATAGTAACATGAAAATTCTCGCCGTTTTCCGTCATTATTAACAGAATATTTACAGTGAAAATAACAAAGATCGGGTCAGTATAACATACATCTCCCATTCAACTGATTGTTCAGTTATGTGAATTTTCTTTATGAGTCCTCGATTTATGCAGCTAGGAACATGAAATTTTGCAATACTTCCAACGATTATCAACAGAACTCTTACAGTGAAAATAACAACAATCGGGTCACTTTTACATATAACTCCCATACAACTGATTGTTCAGATATGAGATTCTTTGTTATAACTTCTAAATATGTGCAGCTAGAAACATGATATTTCGCACTATTTTCACTCGTATCAACAGATAGTTTACAGTAAAATTAACAAAGATTGGGTCACTGTAACTTATATATTGTCTCCATATAACTGATTGTTCAGATATGGGGTTTTAATGTAAAACTAATTTATTTGGACAGCTAAAACCGATAAATTTCGTAAGCTATTGTATAAATAATAATACACAGTCTACTGAGAAAATTGTCAAAATCTATGCTGTATAAGCCTTATCTCGTATACCATTGATTGTTCCTATACCAGTTATTGCGATATATCTCCTTTATGTTGGAAGCTAAACCCATTAAATTGTGTTACCGGTTTACATACCGATCACACAGTAGTGAATTTCACTTTGATTGGTGCTATATAAGGTATATCTTCCATACCTCTGATTGTTTAGATAAGATTTTTTATATATGTAACTCCTCTATCTATGTGTGCTGTGAATATATAAATTTTTTCAAGTGCAGTAATCTGTTAAAGTAAAGTTTTCAGATGTTCATGAAAGGTATGAAGCCTTCGGCATAGCCGAAGACATCGCTGCTCTTACTTGTTAAATTTTATTTCAGTCTTGAAAATTATGCAAATTTTTCTATAAACCAACGTATAAAGTCAGATTTACTAGTGTAAAAAGATGTTTAATATTAGTCAACTACATTAAAAACTAAATTACATTGAGTACACTTTTGGTCGCATCTAAAAAAACAAAAACAAAATTACCTTATTGCAAACAGTGTTCTACTTGCTTTCACTTCATATCCGGATTCGTCGCAAAATTTTACTTTGGAAGTGATGTTAAAATGCCACTGGTCGGAAAATTTATTTACTTTTGAGAGAAACTAGTTCTTAATACTTATTAATAAAAAAGAAAAACAAAAAAAAAGAAAACGAAAATTAATTAATATCCGAATGCTTTTACTTACGAAAATAAGAACACAGCGATTGTCTTATCGTTTGAGCTGAGGCTTCGTTATCGCCAAGTATAATATTTTGCGAAGGGTTTTCCCT